GATTACCTTGCCTTCATCCATCACCCTGGTAGGGGAAGAGCCTCTTGAGCTGTTGTTCATCATGGCAGCTGTACCAGATTCTGGATCTGCTAAAGAGCAGATAACCGACACAGGCTTAGCCTGACTTGTGTACTCTATGAGGAGGAAAAAAAAAATCCTCTCCCCACTTCCTGCATGGTTTTAGACTCTTTAAACACACTTGCTTCCTTACCAGAAGGAGAGGTTTTACCAGATGCCTCAGCTGACCATTGAGGATGAGACAGAGGCCCGTCCACAGATCCTTGTGAAAGAAATAACAGAGCCCTTTTATGGTTTTTTTTTTTTTTTTTTTTCAGAAGAAATAAGAAACTGTAGACAGATTAGGATTCAAGTCTATCTGGAAAGTAACATTAAAAACGGGTCTCCCGATACTCATGAAGGCAAATCATTTCTAATTGATTCACGGACCTAAAGAATTGAAATAAGAAATGTGGGGCTGGGTGTGGTGGCTCACGCCTGTAATCTCAGCACCTTGGGAGGCGGAGTTGGGTGGATCACGAGGTGAAGAGATAGAGACCATCCTGGTCAACATGGTGAAACACCGTCTCTACCTAAAATACAAAAAATTAGCTGAGCATGGTGGCGTGTGCCTGTAATCCCAGCTACTCAGGAGGCTAAGGCAGCAGAATTGCCTGAACCCAGGTGGTGGATGTCACGGTGAGCCTAGCTCGCGCCATTGCACTCTTGCCTGGGTAAGAACAGCGAAACTCCAGCTCAAAAAAAAAAAAAAAATGCCTCGCACTGAAAGAACAATAAACTCTGCACATTAATGGCTCTGGTCTACACTTCAAGCTACAGACTTCTATATACAGTATTCCACATTGAGATTTTTGTTCAGTGTATATGTAATCTGACTTCCATATCATACTATTATAGACATATTTAGGATTCAAAATAGACTGAACAGCATTTCATACTATAGTAATGGGAAGTGGAAACATGTGTGCCTCATCAACTGTAAAGTTACTAAGGCAAATAAAGTTGATTCTTGAGCAATGCAGGGATTAGGTGTGCTGATCCCCTGTTCAGTCAAAAACCCGCGTGTAACTTTTGACTCCCCAAAGCCTACCTACTAATAAATAGCCTACTATTGACTAGAAGCCTTACCAATAACATAAACAGTTGATTAACACATATTCTGTATATATATATTGCACATTGTATTCTTACCTTAATAGAGTAAGATAAAGAAAATGTTACTGAAATCCTAAGAGAAAATGTATGTACATACTGGATTGTATTTGTCTATAGTGTAAGTGTACAGGATCTGTTCATAAGATGAGTTATCTGACAGAAATGACAAATAACTGCTGCACACTCCAATCTAGGGTATATATCTAAGCCATTCAACTTTTCTAATAATATCATGACTTTGCCTCTTGAGAATAATTCCAACAACATTAGTGGCATTTTATATCAGTCACATGGTGTTATTCAAGGTTTATGTCATTGCACTAAACATAAAAAATACACAAGAACCGTGAGAGATTATGTTTACATGAAGAATAACATGACACGGTGTTTAAAGCGAACACACACCACACTTGAGCTCACTGCCATAGCAACTGGAAGTAGCTATAAAATTATTGTAGTAGTACAGTGTGTACTCCAGCCAATTTTATGCATTTATGATTTAATACTGTGTCTTTATATGTGTTTACTTTCTCCCAATTGTGAATGGTGTCATGTATACCTGTGTTTGTGTGTGCAAGTTTTGATAAACATTTTAAAATAGATTTTTGTATAATTACAATAGTATATGATAAAATAGACTAGTATCTACATATATTTTATGCATTCGTGACATGCCTGATTTTTCAAAAATATTTCCAGGCTGTGTGGTTCATCTGCACATTCTTTCAAATTATTGCAAAGTTCCAGAAAATTTCCCAAGGTATTTTTTGAAAAAACTCTGCATATAAACAGACCTGCACTAATCAAACCTGTGCTGTTCAAATGTCAGCTGTATTTGGAACAGGAATCCCACAGAACTTTAAAGTAAAGATAAAGGCTTACAATTCATAGTAAAAAAAAATTGAAAAGAAACAATAAAAGGACCTCAAGGGAAATAATAAGTGCTTTCTGTTTTAAAACAAACCTTGCAGTTGAATACTTATCCACCAAGACAAATTAAAAAATTTTCTTCTCTATAATGGATAGACCCAAATTCTAAAGTGTTGTTTGCATTAGAATCCTCCAATAAGAAAAAAAGCCACGTGAAACAGTATTGCAAGGAAACATGTGAATGCTCACCAAATTCACTTCTAGGCATATCTCTTTGACTRAGAGTAGCAGAGAGCRGTCTCACAGGTGRCTCCACTGTCAGTGGAGGGGAGCATTCYMCACCACTCCCAGGGGATGGGCCAAAAGAGCMATTCTGGCTCAGAGGAYRTAAAGATGACCTAGTACACAGCCAGAGATGTTCAAAGAACATGTGCTGAAGATTTCTGGCTTTCTATAAATAGCCCCKTTCCTTGTTCTATTAGAGACAATTATTGTCCATCTAATCACAGGACATTATGCAGCACCCTTTGTGTCTTAAGAAACTTGGGGAGAAGTTACAATGAACTCAGTCACCTTCATCACTGCATTGCAAAGCCCTGTATTTGCAGTTGTTTCAGCAAGGGATAGAGAGAGAAGATGACTATGCTGTACAAGTTAATCACTACTGTTCAAATCATCTTACCAAAGAGTGGAGGAATTGGCCGAGGCCCGAAAGGTCCACAGAGCTGAGGTGGTGGTCCATATGGAATGGGTGGTGGTACAGGGCCTCCCATGGGGGTGCTCATAAGAGGGAATCCTGGGAAAGGAGGGGGCCCTTTTGGAGTCATATTATCCTGCAGAGTAGAAGCAATTGAAGTTTTGAAATACTCTGGCATGACAGACAAAAGCACCATCACCAGTAAAAACTAAAACCCAGTGAAGCAGATGTCAGCCACTTGTCTGAAGAGCAGAATTAGTGCAACAACCACCGCTCTCATTTGTTCCCACCGACAGCTGAGAAAGGTTAAAAGTATGTCACAGGAGTGAACATGTTTGCTATAATCGTATTATTGCTTATATCTGCACAGGGAAGGGAAAGCAGAGGTTATAAAGAGAAGATATTCCTGACTAATACTCTTTCTAAGGCAGTCACTCCTTCTGCACATCCCTCCCATCAGAATAATTTCCATATTTAGAGTGCAGAGAAAGAAAGGGAATGAAAAATCCATTCTCTACCATGTAATAGCAATTATTCTGAGTACCTTCAACAGGCCTTACATATGTTAACTCGAGTTCTCCTATCTCTAAATCTCTAAAAGGACCATCTTGTTCTAAATATGGAGGAACACAGGCACAGAGAGTATTAGATAACTTGCTGACAGTCACACAGCATGTAAGAAGCTGGGCTGGAATTCAGTGCCAGGTTTGACTCCAAGGCCATTTTCTTTCCACCTCTACTTCTCCTCTCTAACAAAGTAGTCTCTACTGTCTTGAAGTCTTCTACTTCAAAGGGGTCTTGGGTCTTATCCAAATTGCCCTCGGATAAAAAGATTTCTGAAGAGATGTGTATTCCTCGAGTCATGTGCTGGAACCCCAAAGTACGTTCCAAGAGAAACAATGTCATATACACAAATTACACAGGCACACTCTATTTACCTTCATTCACTAGTAATACCATCTATTATGAGACACTGACTAATGATTTCCTAAGGGAAAGTGTTTTGGAAACTCTCAATCATTCAAATAAATGTACTTTGATTTCAACACAGAGAAGCATGGTGAGGTATGATCAGAGGACTTACCAGCTTTAACAGCTAAACAAGTTACAACAGAATACACTTATGTGAACACTGTTTAAGGACACTGCTGAGAACTGGCTCAATGGGTAATTACAGACTTCCACTGTTGGGTACTGAACTTCCAACAAACATTTTTCTGTTATCAATCTGTAATTTCAGATCATTCAAAATAGGTTTTGCCTAGTATACAATTGCAGATATTCTTAAATAGCACATGTCCAATTAAAGACATAATAATGAATTAAACAATTTATAATAATGTATAATAATGAATTATACAATTTAAAATGAATTTACTTTGCATAAGAGCATTAAACACTGGAATACAGAAAAGTGGGGACTTTTCATTTTCGTTTAAGTTAATTGCAGTTACAGCAAATGCTCTTCACAGGTTAAATGTCTATCCAAACAGGAGAGAGGAGAAAAGGCCAACAAATCAGTCAGATTTCAGCAGCACTCCCAAGTCAAGGACAAAAGTAAGATCAATATCACCAGGCAATTTATAGCCCAGTTCAGTCCACACCTCTAAGTACTTACTGCTACTGGATGCTCAGCTGAAAATGTAATTCTGGGAACTGATGAGACTTCAGGCTCTTGGAGAACAGTTTGCTTTTTTAGAAAAATAAATGAGACAGTACAGATAGAACACACAAATAGGAGATGAAGCAAAGAGAGCGTTGTAGGAAAAGTTAAATGTTCTTGAAATAACTATTCAAAATGCGTATGATTACCTTGCCTTCATCCATCACCCTGGTAGGGGAAGAGCCTCTTGAGCTGTTGTTCATCATGGCAGCTGTACCAGATTCTGGATCTGCTAAAGAGCAGATAACCGACACAGGCTTAGCCTGACTTGTGTACTCTATGAGGAGGAAAAAAAAAA